CTGCAGTAAACAGCCCCAACCCTGCCTACCGGCCGGTTTTGACTATAATTCGATGAGTATCGGTTGGTCTCCTTATATACATTTATTGGGCTTTTCTTTTGCGGCCCCGAGGGGCACAACACCGGATATTGTTTCAACAGCCGTGAAAACATTTCATATACTGTGTATAGGTAGAATTAGCTTGTCTCCACGTAAATTTTAAATGAGCGCTTGTAAATAGTCCTGGTTTATATTTAGCTTTTTCCCTCTGGCAACAGCCGTTCTTAAATGGAGCCTCAGATGCCCCTGCCTGCAATGTATAGTATCAGCTTCAATGCTTGCACTGAGCTTTTTTCCTGCCACATTCGGGCAATCCGCAGGCCAGTTGAGCAAGACCTGGGTTCGGCAATGTGTGAAGCAACCAGGATGGGAGTCATTGTATCATCAGCTTCCGAGAGAATTGGCCACCCTACATGGGTTGCGGCATTCATGAATGCATCAAGTGCCAAGTGCATTCATTCAATGTCCAGGACTTCAGATTCGAGCTGCCTATCATCACTCCAAGTGGCACTGGTCTTGAACTTGGCCTCACGCATTTGGTGCGCATCAATCTTGTTGCGCAGTGTGATAGAAGAACCACGCACAATGTTTGTACCGCTTTCAGGATAGTGTGGCTTCCTTGGTGCGTTTGGAACACACTTGAAGCCAAGGACGATCGAACAATTGAAGTTCAAAAGCTCGTGAGGGAGGCTGAAATGAGAAAGCGGCTTACGGCAAGTCTTGAGCTGGAGGTCAGCATGGTGCAGAACGACGAATCGCTGTGTAAAAAGGTCATGATTGAACATATGCTTGCATTATGCGTCCTCGAAGTTCTTGATGAAATTGCTGGATAGAGGCCTTTCAGAAATCTGAAGACATAGGCAAGCTCCAAAAGTCTCTTTGGAAGATGGGTTTGGCATCTTAGCAAGCTATCATGGCGGTGAGAATTGTCACGGTTTTGTTCTGTCTCTATGCCAGGTGCTTTCGACTTTTCAATAACAGGCATTTCGGGCATTTCTGCTTCATTGCACGGCCAGGGCAGTAGAGGTGCAGGCTCAACTACAAACATTATGTCCTTTTGATTCCTTTTGTATATTGCACGTTTGGGATGGAATCGTTTTCCATGTCGCATGTGATGTCCTTTGAAAGTCAAATGCAGGGTTTAAGGGCACAACGCCTCACGATTGACTATTGAAAGATCTTTGTTTTGATGAATGGCTTCCCAGGAATGCCAGCTTCCTGGAAAGCTTGGCCACCCGCTTGAGCACTTAAGATTTGAGCTGCATGCTCGGAAAGAAGAGCAGGCCAGAGTCCAGAGCACTGAACTTAAGCACACCATTTGAGATTGCTTTGGAAGATGTGATGAAGTCCTACGTTTGGTTGGGATTGCCATTGTCAGGCACATCTTGAACAGTGTGTTCAAGCATTGTGACTCAACTGCCAGAAATGAACTGCTACAGTGCTACAGGTTGTAGTTCTGTTGACTCATGTTGAAATTTTGAAAGCTGCATTGAGGAGAAGCAGTGTCATGGAGCAGAGAGAGGAGGTTCAAAGAAAGGGCGAGATCGCGATGGAACTTGCCTGTCAACTTTCCAAGTCTAAGCTCTGTTGGATGCTTAACTCGCGGGTTTCACTCTCTATTGAGGTCTCGACGGTGCCCACTGACCGGAAAATTCAGCAAGTCTGGGTCCTCTAAGGCGCCGATGATCCGCTGCTTCAAGCTGATCCAAAAGTAACATGTATCAGTCAGAGCTCGCCTGAGGTGATAGCTGACTAAGCCATGTCCGGGCTGGCGTCCAGGATCTCAATCCTCACAGCTTCCCAACTGTATAGATTTCAGCTGCGTATTTGTCCTCAGCGCCTTACAGCAGCAAAAAGCAGTTGCAGTGAGCCTGAGTGAACTTGAGTGAGAGCCGCAACACGTTTTTCTTGTATTTGAGACTGAGCCTTGTTTGTCAACTTTGCTTCTGCTTTCTGGTTTGGGAGAGTCTGAGTAGCTGGTTTCACTTTGGAGTCCAACAAGCTCGTTGGCGGATCCACTTCTTAATTACCTATAAACAATTATATTGTAAATGCAAATCACACACACATACATATATACATATATATATATATGTGTGTATTGCACACACTGGTGCGGGCCCCTGGCCTCCAATCCTCCTCCCAAAAACAAGTGGCGCTCCCTGGCTCAGCTCTTTTCTTCCACGCACACCTGAGGTCGTCCACGACCAGTTCGAACTCCAAGGTCGTCCTCGACCTTCCAACAAGCACCTATGGCGTCCACGCCCCGTGCCGAAAGCCCCCTGACTTGAGCCTTCAGCAAGGCATTCCACGAATGCATGACCCTCGAGTGGACCGCATACGAACCGTCGGCAGGTGATTTCACAAATCAACACTCCTAAAAAATATCTTTTGTTCGTTGTTTCATGAACTCTGCTTGCAAGTGGCTCACAAACGGTTCAAGATGCTCTGGGCAGTGCTCGGTTGATCACACTCGTAATCCAACAGATTACTTTCCCGATAGCACTGGCAGCAATGCGTTTCCGCTGCCGAGGCTGTTTGCATCCAAGCTTGCCTAAGTCTTTTATCGGACCGCTGCTTGAGGACTTCATCAACATCCCTTAGCAGACACCGACCTTGTTCCAAAAATGTTCGGAGTATGGATGGGTCCATGTCCTTTGTCAAAGCATCTGCCATCTGTGCTGCACTATGTACCCACTTAATTAATATCCCCTCCTTTAACCGGTCTTTAAGTACCAAAGCCTCAAGCAATGTTCTGTATTCAGAGCATGATGGTACCGCGGTTTTCTGGAGAAGGTCATACAGGCTCTTGCAATCTACGACCGCATAGGCCGAGGGCAAGTTTGTCAGGGTCTCTGCAGGCTTACGCCAATCCACTTGTGGATTTAACATCCAGCTCCATAGGATTCTTATCCAACTCAGCTGATCGAGTGCTGCGGAGCGGGCATACGTTTCAGAGGCAAGGGTGCTCGACACTACTCTGCTGATTTTCCGTGAACTCCAGATTAATGGACTCACTTGTGATCCTTTCGCTTCTTCAACTGTGGGAGTAGTGGCTAGAATGAATGTACCTCGCTGTGAGTGTGCTCTATCACGGGTGGCAAATGCGGCATCTGAGAAGGACAGGAACCTGACGTCTGCAGGTCTGAGTGGCTGTATCCTGATTTGGACATGGGCGTGCCTTTTGGCATCATCGAGCAATCGTTTGGCTGTCATCAGGTCTTCAATCGTGGCGTTCGGGATTTTTGCCTGGAGGAGACTTAATCTACATGATATGTCAGGCCTTGTGTTTGTGGCTGCATATTGAAGGCTTCCTATAAGACCTCGAAGACTTTGAATTTCCTGCTGACTTGCAGATCCTTTTTGTTCTTTTCTTCGTTCTCGAGGAATTTCGATGGGTGGAATGTCCCGAATATATTCTGTCTGGTTCAGTCGAATCTCCCCATTACTTTCTTGGTTCACTTGGATTCCTGTGAATGTGAACTTTTGGGTCTTTTTGCTACCAAATGGAAATTTCTTTTCAAGTCGATCAATGGTCTGATTAAAGATCGCATCACCACCCCCAATCCCATCATCTACGTGGATTCCAAGGATTCCATGAATTTGGCACGGGTCTTCAGTCTGCTTCTTGGTGTTCTGCTTTGGTAATACGAACAGGCAGGGGTCTAGTGGTGATACTTGGAACCCCAAAGCAATCAAAGCATTTCGAAGTTCGATGTACCACAACAACGGTGCATTGACTAAACCATAGGCACCTTTCAAAAGCTCACAGGCCTCATCCTCTCGAAGACCAAGACTCCGGCGCATTTCAATTGGCGGCTCAATGCCCAGAATTCTTGAATCTTGCTTGCTTCCCCTCAAAAAGGCCATTGAGATGTCGAATGACCTCAGTACCCATTTCTGACTAGCAATAAGTTGTAGTAGAATCATCCTTGAATCTCTGCCTAAAGTGGGACTGTCACGAGGCAATGATTCGAGTGCTGGGTCTTCATATCCTAGGATAACAAGACGGGCCTTAGCTTTGCGTGTCCGGCCTGTCGTTTTGGTCACTTGTTCATCGACTGGCTTCCAAGTCAAGATCCACCGGGTCCTGAGCAATTGATGTTCGGGGACTTGATTGCGGGTGATTCGACGAATCGTCTCCGTGGAAATCCATTGGTCTATTTCCTTGGTTTTGGCTTGTTCGAATTCTTTGCGTTCACTGGGTGTGAGGTCTCTCAGTTTCACTTCGACCTTTTGGCGTTTAGCCGCCGAAGCGATCAGTGCTTCTTGTTGTTGATAGGACACGTGTCTGCACTGTTGAAGTTCGGACATCGTGAGAAACACTTCACACACTATCCCTGTGGGTCTCACATCATCGGCACTGAACTGTGTTTCAAGCATGTTCTAGTTCCTTTTGGTTGATCTGGAATATGGTCCTTCCGGTCCAGGCATCAGCGAGACATCGGTGGCTAGTCACATTATCTTGCCATGTTTCCTGTAGCTCGACAGTTTCCCCCGAACGATACTTACCTTGGGTAATTCGTGAGGGAAGGATGCACTTCATCGGAATTGGACAGGATGGATCTTCATTTGGATTGAACGTTCTCACGCGAGGCACCCGATGGTGCCGAATGAGCAGGTTCCCTGTGACTTGCCAATGGTCGTGCACGAACGTGTCGGCCATTAAGCCATCATCGTCGTCTGGGACAGGGACCTGGAATGCCTCAGGCATCAGAGTATCTACATCTGGACTTGGTGGTTGGTTTGAGCTTATTTCGGGTTCATCATCAGGTTGGTTGGATCCTACTCAGGACGAACAGTCTCTCTGGGCTCCATTGTACCGGAACTATCAGTTGCAGGGTTGTCCACCTGGATAGCTTCAGGGGGAGGGATCTCGGTTGTCGATCTCGGTGGTGGGCCCATGGTATGATCAGTCGTGTCTTGGTATTGAAAAACTCCTGACCCTTGGATCGGCGTGACTCCCAGGTCCTGCAGGCTTCGAGCAATTAGTTGCTCATTGGTCGACAACACGCGCACGTGTTCCGGTGCCACTCGGTAGAGTCGCGTGAGATGCGACAGCCATATGGCATTGTGCTCTACCATTAGAACTCTTGCCGGGCCCAACCATTTTCCCTCTTCGCTCCTGCTTGACTTCCAATACATTTACCCAATCTCCTATCGTGTAGATCATGCGGTGTGGTCGAGATCGAGCATGCAAGGACTTGCGAAGAATGGAACATTGGTCGGTCTTGACATAGGCTATCCGAGCAGCCTCCCTTTGGAGCATTTGATGTCTGAATCTACTTCCCTCCGTGTCGGCAAATGACGAGGCATCGGTTGGGTCGTTGTCCATGATGCTTCCAGGTGTTCTTCGGCTTTTACCTAGAACAAGTAGCTCCGGACTGTACCCTGCATGCTTTGACAATGAGTTCTTGGCATTACACAAGTGAAGTAGCGCTTGACTAAATGCCTCATGGTCTTTTATTGCATGTTCAACATGATATTTCGTCAACATCATTTTTAAGATAGCTCCATTTCGTTCGGCTCGTCCCAGTTGCCAATGTGCACGGGATGGTATGGGATATGCCTTCACATTGTGCTCTTGGAGGAATTCACTAAATGTTTGACTGTTGGCTTCTCCACAACTATCAAACATGACTTCTTTTGGGGGACCGGCCCATCTGATCCATGCCTCTTCAAAACTCTTGATGAGACTATGTGATGTTCCCTGATGAATGGCTATGGCGGTGTGAAAGTTGGTGGCTGAGTCAATGAAATGATAACACCAATAACTCTCCCCGTTCGGTGACTTCCATTCAAGAGCATCGAACGAAACTAGGTCGTTGAAGTCTTTGGGACTTGACATGTGGGCTGGTCGGGCTATCTTAGGTGCTTCCTGTTCCCGGCATATGTCACACGCAAAATCTGACAAAGCTTGAATGACTGTTTGGGACCAGCCTTCACTTTGGAGAGCAGCTTTCATTTGGGCTAGTCCTGGGTGTCCTAGATTCTTGTGTATCTTTCTGATCTGATTTTGAAGCTTGTCAGGCAGTGCACGAAACTCAGTCGGTCCGATGATCTGTTCCCTCAATGGTTCTGGAACAGGTTGAGTCGGTTCATATGGAGTGGTCGTCACATCCGGCTGTTGGACCTGACCCTCATTCGGAGGTAGGTCGGTCTTGCCACACATTGGCTGATCAGTTGGCTCTTCCCGTGGGCGAGCAATCATGGTCAACTGCAGCTTGGTGGGAACTCCGGCACGAATCTGTTGTCTGTGGGACAACGTGTTCCAGCGTTCCCATTTTGGTTCCAAAATCACGGATTGGTCTTCACGTTTTCTCCCCATGGCTCTTCGAAAGGGACATGTCTGACTATTGACGTTGTTGGGAGGAACTCGCATACGGTTGATGCCCCGACAAACATCTATGGCCACAATGGACATTTCAGGGAACATATTTTGGAGTTGATCGAGGATTTTACCCGAGGTCATCCAATTCCTGCCTACCCGGGGAGTCACATGATCAGCTTCTTGGAGAATCGCTTCAACTCGGGACAGCACATCCGATGCTGTGCCGGGATCCGGCGGTGACTTGAACTCAATCCGACGGCGCTTCGACTCTTGTGGATTATCGTCGCTTGCGAACGATTCTGCAAACTGTGTTGATGTCCCCTGAGCTTCCTTTGTTTGGGCACTGAGTTGGAGTACCTTTCCTATTTTGTGGGCAAATGCTTTGGTATACGAGTCGGTGTATTGAGACACGGACATCCTACCAAACCCTGGGACTCTACAGCTTCCGGCTATGGATAGATGTTGATGATTACCCGGACATTGCCATTGTTCTATGGTTCTCTGTAGCACTTGGGAGGTGGTCCATACTTTTGAGGAACCTATGGTTGTCCTCGGGGTGGCGGAGTTGTCCTCCGGTGCACATGTCGAACTTGGCTTGGACTGTGTAGTGGACAATGAACGACAGTTCTCCTTGAAAAAACATGTCGGAATTGGCAGGTTGCTCTAAATGGAAATGACAGTCTCTGCGGCGTCGGATCTGTAATCGGCGCAAAGCGTCGCACAGCCAAAGATGACAACGCTCATGATTTCGAGCACGGTGAATGCGCTCTGCCATTTCGAGAGGCTTTCCTGCATTTAAGTGACTCCATCCTGACCACGGTCCACAGTTGGGAGAAGTCCAAATGTGTCGAGGTCGGGTGACCCAGATGAGATCATACGAACGGCTTCTTCCCCCAAAAGTGTTGAGGTCTCCATGGGAACGGCAGAAACGCATAGCTTTCAAACCTAACCCAATGGCCTGGTTTGTCAACTCGCTTTCCGATGCACAGTACACTTCCAGGAGGTCACTATTGACTCTACTCAGGTGATGAACTTCTTCCTGGGTCCCATAGTGTCGACAGAAATATTGCATCATTTCTTGGTACATGGGATTGCTCACTTTCGGTTGCATGTCTTGAAAGTATAGTGTATCAACTATCTCTTTTGGTTGGTGTTTTTCCACTGGTCAATACCTATGCAATCGAAGAGCATGGACTTGACTTCATCAGGCACATCCGAACGGGCGGCGGCTGACGGATTAGTCACTTCTTCTCCGGCCGGGAGTAGCTGCTGGGTCCCTGTGCCGTCGGCTCCAGATGGGGTGCCGGTGGCGTCAGGACCTGGAGGATCTGCTGCAATGAGGCTTCGAGGCGATCGAGGCGTTGTGCCTGATGGGCGATCTCTGGATCTCGAAGGTCTTCTTCGACCATATCCCAGCGACCCTCGTTTTCCCACACTTCCAATTCCTCTGCAGTGGCCGGACGGCAATGAGCTGCCTTGGCCTTGGCCTGGAGAGGATGTGAGTTCGCGGTTCTGCTCTTCCTCTTCCACACACCTTTTGATGTAGGTCACGAAGCTCTTGTGGGCCGGTTTGGGACTGTCCTGATATCGAGCGAGGAACCATCCCACATAGCGTTGATCGCTCTGGAGAACCTCCTGGTAGGTCTGACCTCTCTTGGCCTCTCCGAATGAGATTCGCAGGTTGGCCAGTTCTTCGGTGCTCATGCTCTCGGGATCGTGATGCGCCGTCTCGTTGGTGCTCAACAAACGGTTGTACCGCTCGGCTAGACTGTTGCTTGCCTTGGTCTTGGCGGCACTCTTGCTGTTCGACATGGCTGCGCAAATCACGATCAGTCACCTGAGGTCTCGGGCACGAGTTGCTTCGGATTCGCTTGGATTGGACTGTGGAATCGTGCTCAAGACTGATGAGAACGGACTCGGGCTCTATCTTACCTAATCTGGACTTTGATTCGATTGACGTATCGAGATTGCCCGATTCGGATTGCGATGCACTGCGGACGAGTTCGGCAAAATCCAGCAGGTATAACTTCTTTTCTGACAGCTGAAGGGGCAGTCTGACTCCGAGCTTGCCGAAATGGATTTCGTCCGTGGCTGTGTGAATCGAGGCTTCGAGTTTCCGAAACAAATTGTTAGACAAGAGAAATGGAGTCTTTGACGGAACAATGCATATCTTTACATAGAAAGCTCCCAATGGCACTAACAGAGCTCGATCACACTGGACAGTGCTGCTGTTACCAAATCGAAAAACGGTCTGGCACGGAACCTCAAGCACCTTAGTGGACTTCGGCAGTTGCTGAAGCACTTCATTTACCTGATGCTGTCCGATGACTGTTTGACTCGCGCCTAGGTCCACGATGCCTAAAGAACCATGGCTCACAAAATGTGCTACCTCATCCATCCTGGTTTGGACAGGTTCGCTCTCAGTCAGGGGGCGAAGATTCAAGCCAAGCTTAACTTTCATCGTGGGCAACAGCCTAAGAGCGCACGAATGAAATTCGATGTTCACCGGCTTTGGTTCAACCCCATTACTTCCCAAAAGATGCTTGGAGGTGGCATGAGCAACTACAAAACACTCAGCATGATGGTTCCTAGAAACCTCAACCGGGATCATGTCATCTTCAGGGTCGTGTTCGACTGCCGGTTCATGGATCACCACACCAGTGAAGGCTCCACCTTCTTTGGATGCATTCGAACCTGAAGGACCTTGGTGTCGAAGAGGGCACTCGGCCTTCCAGTGGCCTTTCGCTCCACAACGTCGGCAGTTGCTTTCAAGGATGCGTTGTGCCAGAGGTTTGCGGCTGCGGAAATCAAATCGATTGCTCTTGCCTTTCCGATCTTTTCCGAAACCCTTCTTCACAGGTGTCCAAAATCCCCGGCCCTTGGTTTTGTCGGCCAGGCGTTTGCGAGCCTCAGTGTATGCATTCAGACATGAGGCCATGTCCGCATCGTTCTGGAGCGTCTCCATGAGGCCTTCCTCGAACTGCATGCAAACCACGGCATCGGGATCGCCGTCTTCAGCCATTTGTTCAACAATGTTGTCATCCATACAATCCCCAACAAACCCAAATTCATCATCAATTGGATATTGAGGTGCAGTCAACAACGTCGGCTCTTCTTCCGTGAGCAAAGCTGTGGTATCATATGTCTTTGTACGAGGGTTGTGTTGTTTACCGGCATGGACTTCGTGGAAAAAGCGGCTGCCCAACAATTTGAGATTGGCCACCACACCATGGTATTCCAACGAACCCTGCGGCTCGACGATCAAGCGCTTCTTATCCTCAGCGCTCAAAGCCGAGTTCCTCAAGAGGATGTAGGCACGAAACTCTTCCATCCCAACTTTCATACCTATGAGGTCTTCGAATTGATGATCGTGTCGGGCGAGGTAGGATTCGTGGGTCTCATCAGGGCGTTGGGTAGTCCCATATATGGCCCTTTCAAACTTCTCGAACTTGTCTTCCAGTCGTGACTTTCCCCAGATTCCCCCTAGGCAGGTCACAATGGCCTTGACGCCCTCGAGGTCATTCCCTCTCAAAACTTTCGGATCGAGGCGGGAAACACGTTGAAAAGCGGACCCTTCACATTGTAAAGCCAGTCTTGGTGCCAGCAATTGAAGGTGTTCGGCGGGCCAAAGCTGTGCCAAGAACTCTACTTTCTTCGTCCACTCCGTCAGGTCGGTCTCTCCCGGTTTAAATCCCGGGATTTGTCCCCAAAACAGATGGTCAAGCTTCCAGCGTTGGCGCTCCCAGCGCCTTCTGCAGCCTTTGGTGCCATGCTCTACCCTGGAACCCCTTCACGGCTTCCGAGGCAACAAAGGAAATCTAAAGCTTCCCAAGCCAGTTTCCTCCTCCTCGGCCGTGCGGGGCTCCGCTACCAATGTGTATTGCACACACTGGTGCGGGCCCCTGGCCTCCAATCCTCCTCCCAAAAACAAGTGGCGCTCCCTGGCGCAGCTCTTTTCTTCCACGCACACCTGAGGTCGTCCACGACCAGTTCGAACTCCAAGGTCGTCCTCGACCTTCCAACAAGCACCTATGGCGTCCACGCCCCGTGCCGAAAGCCCCCTGACTTGAGCCTTCAGCAAGGCATTCCACGAATGCATGACCCTCGAGTGGACCGCATACGAACCGTCGGCAGGTGATTTCACAAATCAACCATATATCACCACATATATATATATATGAATATCGGTGGTCGGGTATGGGCTAGGTGGTAGGAGAGAGATGAAGAACATGCAGTTTAGTTACTGTGGTGAGTGCAGGAACCAATGGCACAGGCGCTTCTGTGGTCTACAGTGCCTGCAGCGCTGGCCTACGTGCCATGGAATTAAGACATTGTCACCAAAGTTTCAAGCTCGTTTGGGGGCTACTCCTCTAGACTCTAGACTGCAGAATTGGTAGTTAGCCCGTAGGAACAGATGCAGAGGCGGGCCATCATGGATGAACATAAACATTGCACCCCTTGCAATCCAAATACGTCCAAGGACTCACTTTCTTGTGCCCAAAGGTGCTTCCTGGCCAAATCAGTGCGACCAGCTTTACTACGAAAGAGGCCTGGGACCATTATTAGTTGCTTTGCGGCTGTGCCTTTGCTGGTGTATATTATGATCAGTTTGCACACAGTTGGCGTCCATTTCCAGAGATGGCAGCAGGCAGATTTCGTCAAGAATCCACTTCGGGAACCTTGTCTTATTTTGACATCCGACACGTCACTGTTTTTTTGTTTTTTGTTCTTTCTTTTTTTTGGTTTCACGTTCCTCGTTTTGGGTGCTTGTTTTCCCAGGACAGTTTCATGGCAACCCTGCGATCGCCAGAGGCCGTTATGCAGTTATGCCGTTATGTGAACGGTACCGTTTAAGGCTTAGTTTAAGGGGTCCAATGAAATGCACACCGGCAGAACGATAGAGAGGGAGAGAGAACATTGTCACTTGTGGTTGTAGGGTGGGTACTTTGCAAACCCTTTTCCGTGGTTGCCTGATCGGGCAATTCGTCAAAAGCACCCTTGCAAGGCAAAGGTGAACATCAGACCTACTGCATCCGCTGCGCAGTGGCTCAAACTAGAGACCCCGCCCTTTTTCCAGCATGCAACGTGTTGAGCTCAGTTCCTCCAGAAGTTCTTCCAGCCATCTAATTGGACAAGTGCAGGAGTCCAGCCTCGAAAGCGATCGCACCTTGGCATTGGTGACCACAACAAGCATCAGTGAGTTGCAGAAAGCGCCGGAGTATTGAATGTTGAAAAGCAGGCAAGGCTTGACAAGCTCAGGAAATCTTGGCTTCCGAAATGCTGCGGGTCGGCCCAAAAAGGCAAGTTTGGCAAGATGTTTGATGAATTCATGAGAACGTTGGAGAGTGCTTCAAGGTGACAATGAGATTGACAATCTTGACTGTTCAAAGGAAGTTCACGCACCTGCAGCTTGTCAGCAGCGTGAGATAGCTGGCTGCTAGCTAGTTCAAGCACCCTTGCTTTCCCCTCCCCAACAGCTAAAGCTTGGAGCCTCGACCTTCTGCACACCTTTAGCAGAGAAGGTTCGATTCGAGAGTGAAGGCTTTAGGTACCAGCACATGATGATTCATGACTAGCGTGCCTTTGTTATTCTTGCGTTGGAAGCTGTTTGCCCAGAAAACAGTTACTGTGACAGAACCAATTCATACCGCACTGAATGTGCGGCTTTCGATGCCGAAAGAGAGTGCAGCGTTTCAGCACGCAAACCCATTGAATCAGGGTAGCGTGCTGCAACTGAACATTTCTTTTTCAACTTGACCATGAGGTGGACAGCTCCACAACGCAGATTGTGGATGAATGGGACCAGGATATGCTCAATGCACTGAACTTAGTGTGGGCATGTGGACAAAATGGCCGGTGCCGTGCCGTTGGCAGGGATTTCAGGGGTGCAGGCTGTCACTGCTGCCTGATCAAAGAAGACCTTTCTGACAATATTATCCAGCTTTGGCAGATTGAGCTCGACTTCGAATTGTCCCCCAGCTGCCCAAGTCTAGCGAAGTAGACCATTGCCCGAAGCCGAAGCTCGTACAATCGGGGACACCTCTGCTTGTCGATGCTATAAGTCAAATTGATGCTCGCCACCGAACGGAACAACATAACACTTGCAATGTTCGGAGATTTGCTTTCCCAAAAGTGGTCGATGTAATTATATAATCTCTACTTCTCAAGTGCACTCTGTGGATCGGGGGCCCAGAAGGAAATGCTGTAGCTACAGGGTGGGAGCGTCAGCGCAGCCATACGGGCCTTCAGAGTTCCCGCTCAATGATTCATTAGCTCAAGCCTGCAGCAATATTTCACGACTTGACATTAAGTTGTGAAGGAAAGACTCGGCAGGACCGTTCGATGTTTTGCTTGCCTGTTTCAATTTGGCCCGGACGCGAAAAGCCCACAAGCTCATGTCGACCTCTCCAATGTGCTTTGTGCTGGATTCTGACGAACAACCTGGATTGGATTCTCGGCTGCACCACTGTTTTGGCGAGATGATGCTTGATAATATATATTCGGTCTGCTTGACTCTTGCTACATTCGCTGCCCAAGGACACGAAGAAATCGCGAGCTTTGAGCCCTCCCAGCCATGTAATATTCAGCAAGGCTTTGATGGAGGCCACAGCCCATCGCCGACCCAAGGGTACTGACCTGGAAGATATGTATTCCTTTCTACCTGACCAGCTCAAAAACTGTGGGAAGGATACAGAGATGCACCGCGAGATGCAGAATCCGGTCATGCCTGGAGTCATGCCCACCTTCTCCACCTGGACAGCGAAACAGCCCAACCAAGTCATCCAAGCCGCGGCTTGCAACGGCAAGCGTGCAAGTTCTTTGAGTCACATCCGAAAGGAGCCTCCAATTGATGTCCCCAGACGTGGACGAGGCACAAGTACTGGTGCCACAAGGAAGGGCCTGGTATGGAAGCCCAAGCAGGGCTATGGGACGGCTGAATCCTATGCCGGTGATCGGGTTCGCCCAGCCCTTTTTCGTCGTGGTGGTTGCTGAGTGAGAATGTAGTTGGGCAGCTTTTGTGAATTCACTTGGTGCATGTTCAATGTCGGCCCTGACCTGTTTGCCTTTCTGATACAGTAATGTGTCGTGCAGGCTAGGTTGATGACGTCCAGGTTTTGGACAAATCTCATCTCTTCGGCTTTGATGTGCTTGTAAGACAACTGACAGGGCAGAAGATTGAGAATGCCAATGCCGAAAATGCTTAAAGCTTTTTGCCCTGCCTCAGCGGGGCGGTCGTCAAACGCACGTGAGATTGCGAGAAGCTTCAAAAAAGTTTGACCAATTGTGGGAAGAGGCTTCCTATCATTTCCTGCAAGCTACTACACTTCTGTGCTCAGGTCAGTGATCCAGCTGCACCTGTATGGCTTCGAGATACCAACCAGTGGTCCGAATCAGAGCCCCTGAGTTTGCATTGGGATGAGCTGGCTTTGGCTTGGTCGTGTGGGATAGAAGGGAGCACGAAGTCGTATAGTGCTGAGCACTATATATATACAGGTTATACATATATAACTATATAGTTTTGGACACTGGACATCACACGGGCTGGCTGTTTTGCTCGTTAGTTCTTCAGGAGGGATGGCATCTCATACTCAAATCCGCCGGTTTTCATGCACTTTCCTGCACAACGGATGTTTTGCCCTTCGGCCTGGCAATTAAGGCAGAAGCAGCCAGAGGTGCTGGACTTGATGGATTCAAAGTGCGTGCAGTCACGGCATTTCACTGGTAGGTGCCTCTTTTGGAGCAGGTGCCGGGTTACGCAACGTCGCCTGTGCCGGGAGCAGCTTCGTCTAAATCCAAACAATCATGCAATCAGTCTTTTGTGGCCCTTGGCCATCCCTATATTCTCCAACATTTTTGGGATGTGAGGTTCCTCCAGGAAATCCGCTAGATCTGCTTGGAGGAGGCCTTTGTGGATTGCATTATTTGCATTCTAATGCTTGCTTGTCCTTGCCTGCTCGGAAGGCCGCAGCTGCAGTGTGCCTTTGCCAAGAGCTTTCAGGGACGAAGAAACACAGTGGACACCTAAGCACCTTCTTCTGAAAGAGTTGCGGTTCTTTCCAACATGGTAATGATTGCTGACAAGGCCAAGTGACCGGAAGCCACGGAAGTACACTGAGGAGCGGCTGGCGAGCCTGACTCAGCGAAACTAGACATTGGGAGGGCTAGGAGAATCTCTATGTGCTTTTACGCTGAACATGGCAGGATTTCGAGTCGTCTACAGGCATGGATCTTGTGCGTGCCAATCTGCAAAGTAGAAAGCTCGGTGTCAGATTTTGAGTCGAAGCAAAAACATGGATATCCTTGCGAATCGTTTCACCTGCAGTAGCACGAAGCTTTTTAGTATGTCTTCGAAGCTTCTTGGTACGAGGTTGCATGCTGAAACACACCGAGCTGCCTTTATCAGATGTCCTTCAGGCAAAGGCCAGCGGGAGGGTCAAAAACCCCGCTGCCTTCTTAGCCATTTTACCTCAGATGTGGCGGCTGCTTTAGCAGCTGCTCGAGCTTGCTGTAGAAAGGCAAGTTTTTGCAATGAGGGTGATCTGAAGAAGTTCTGTTCGCAAGGTGGCACCTGGCAACCCAAGTGCAAGGAATTTGCTTGGATGTTCAATCTCCATGTCACTGTCGCACCGCATCGACAAAGCATCGACCCACCATGTGTCAAGCAGCCGCCAGTCCACAGAGAGCAAGTCACCAACAAAAGCGTGTTTGTCCTCATCCCTATCACTGTATGCCACCTCAACCCCCAAGCGCACCAAAAGATAAGCCGCTACGAACCACTTGAAAGACCGTCCCGCTCATTGGGGATGCTGCTGCTGGGTGCACACAGTGTAGTGTGGCTTAGCCTGGGCGGAGCAAGATGCAGAAGGGTGCAAGGTGCACAGCATTGCCGTGCTAGGCGATGTGAACACTTTCAAGATAAGGCGACCTTGTCAGCAGGATGCCATCAATGTATTGAACGGAGTGCACACAGAGCACACACTTGTACGTGGCCATCTCTCAGGATCCTTCTCTTTTTTATTCGTTTTTGCTCGCCTCAACACGATGCACATTCCACCCGCCCACGGAACATTACTTTTCCACAAAAGCTTCCCTGCCGGAAAGCTTACTCAGATTGCTGTTTTGACCGCAAGAGCTTTCTTCGCAAAGGTGTCTGCCGTCAGAGCCATGGTGGAGGCCACAGCATCCTATCGCTTTGAGCATGTTCCTCGGTGGGCGCATTAAGTTTGTTTGCAGCCGTTGGGCCTCGTTGAGTGTACATTGCGCTGTGCCTAGGCAAAGCAGCTGAAACATTTGCGGGATGTGCTGACCAAAGAGCAGCATTTTGGCAGCGTTTTGACGGTAGCACCATAAGACAAGAGAGGTGTCCTCTTTGTTCTTTTTCTTGCCGCTATGGCGCCGCTAGTTGCTTCAGGGCTTCCATGTGGGTGCGTTTGGCTCGGTCCAAGCAGCTCCGGGAGCAAATTGCTGCTCGTGTGCAGGAGGTCGGGGTGCCGAATGCTTCGTCTCCATCAAGCTTTTGCTGTACTGCTTGACTTTTGATAGCTCGTTTTGGGATATAAGGAGCACCCTCCCTGAAAGAATCATAGAAGAGGATACATATATATATATATGCGCAACGAACTATAACTGGTTAACAATCTATTTGTAGAGGACAATGGTCATTTCCACGGTTGTTCCAGGGAGTGTGAACTTTGTTATTGAAGGTTGTGCATTCATGATTCATGCAAGGCGGTTCAGGCCGAAGACTTCAACAAAGCGGAGGAAGTGTATCAGCTTCAGCGTTTGGCAGAGGACGAGTTGATTTTTGACGGTGCCTAGTAGAGATTACTGGCATGAGAGCAGCTTGTCATGACCAAGCAGCAGGAGTGTATTCAAGGCTTTCAGCTGGATCCGAGACAAGGTGGCTCGAGAGTGGTAACATGGACTGGGATGTGAACTTGGAACAGCGCAAGAAACTGATACATGTCCCAGGTGGATCCGTGGAGTTGTCCAACGGATCTATTCTCCTAGGACCAGCATCAGATCTTGGCCTTCTAGAAGGCACTCCGGATGCTGAGTACCACTACTCGGTCCAAACACACAAATCCACGGTCAGTGATGTTTTGAAATTACCAGGTGATTTTACAGTCGAATTCTGGATGCGCTGCCAGGACCACCTCTTTCTGAGTGCAATGGGCATACAGTAGGTGAAAGAAAGTAAGGATTTCGCAGGTTAATTAGAACGTGCTTGGAGCCTGTGGAAAGCAGGTTATGTTTCTTAAAAACAGTTATCAGCCAAAATCAAGGCATTTTGGCTCAAGCTAGATTCCAACAAAAACATTCTCACTTTCGCTCCTTCCCATTCTCCTATCTGATCGCCATGGCAAGCACCGGCAACACAGGAGAGTTCTTTGACTATTCTTAATGGAGAGGACACGGTGTCTTCCTTCACGCTCGCACCCTTTGAAGCGGTGACCCTGTTCTTCAAGCTGGAGGAGGAAGTCACCGAGACTGCGGGCAGAGTGGATGATGCCTTGGCGGGCGCAGTCCTCCCCAAGGACGACACCGACTCTGTGGTCTCCGCAGACCTCGTGAAGTGCGAAGCCCCCACGCCCAAGGAGCTTCGGGTCAAGTTGGCGGAGTTGAGTGACGCCATGTCGGCCGTTTATGTGGACACTTCCACTCTTGAAGGTGCAGGCGCCTGTGGCCCTGAAAGCTGGCCGGAGGGGGATGTTCCTATGTCGTTTTCTGCACCTACGGCAGCTACTACATCGTCGGCCCCTACATCGGCACCTCCTGGCCGGGTCTGCCCCCATGGAGCCACCCATGCGCCATCGCAAGCGCAAGGACATGAAGGCCACGCCAGGCGCCTACGGATGTCCAGGCGTCGCCGTTGGCGCTGAAACTCCAATGGCTGCATCTCTGGTGACGCGGGGTGATGAGGCCCTCGGCTGGTCCAGCCTACCAACAAACTGGTCCCCCAAAAGAAGCGATACGCATTGAGGGAGGCGAGCGCAGGGGAGGCTGGGAGCTACTTTGGGGGGTGGTTCTGATCAAGCCAATCCCCCGACCCCCCTTTCAGACAACCAGGGCAACAAGTCGTTCTTCTACTCCATCAGGGAGGGTGCCAACTTGCCCCTTCCCGTGTGAAACGTAAGCTGAACACGTGGGCGGAAGAACTGATGAACTGACTCATCCCAATCCTGCCGGCTTTGACCCCTCGAAGGGTTTTCCGCCTGTGGCCCTGAAGCCTCCTCCAGGAGGCATGAGGACGTTGCTCTCGCTGCTGCTGCGCAAATTCTCCCCTTTTTGTGACTCACCTGTGAGTAAATTCCTTGTCCTGTTGCGACATGTATGGGCCCGTCTCAGGGTGCCGTGTCGAATGTCTCAATGAGGACTGTCCTGTCCTGCGCCATCCCAGTCCTGATTGTGTACCTGACACTTTGGATCAGACTCAGGGGGGTTTTAAGAACCAACCTACAACATTCCCCTGCTGCGCCTGCACTTTTCCACTGGTTTTTGGGCTTGATGTTTAAAGAAATGTCGGAGTTGACAACAGCTGTGAGCTATGCAAACGCACATGCCCTTCCCCACCACACATTTTGCACTGTTTCTCGCTTCTCATGAGTCCTTGGGCAAACTTAGGCACTTGAAGTGTGCAACAATTTGAGAATTGGGTTGGCAGTGCAAGATCTGTGCGCAAGCGAGTGTGGTAGAAGGGAAGAAGTTGCCCAAAATAGGAAAGAAGGGCTGGAACATTAAAGGGCTGGAGAGCCCATATGTAAAGTTTCAAGCCCGGACAAGAAAGGAGTGCGTACAGCTGATGAGTGCAGATATTATGAATCAACGGGGCGGGTCACAGTCATGAGTGAGTGAGTGAGCAGTGCCGTGGAGTGGGGTGAGTGTTATATTCGCAAGAAATATTTCCGTTAAAATGCCATTTACAAAATGAGAGCCTTGAGGCCCTATATCAGCAGGTCATTTTGTAGACAACTCGCTTTTGCGCTCAATCCCGTCATTTTGTAGAGACCTGGCCCTGCATTTTGTGGAGAAATGTTTTTTTTCCCAATGTTTTTTGTTCTTAAAGAAAGACCCCTACTTAAATGACTAAAACATACTAAAACCATTTTGTAGATGCCTTTTCATAACGACCTCATTTTGGAGAGAGTCGTTTGTTTAACATGCAATTTGTAGAGGCATTGTGGTACAGCAGGGGTCATTTTGTAGACCAGTTTCATCAAAACTGTATACAAAAATGAGGGCCTCCACCCCTCCCCCTTTATTTTGGGATCAGGAAAAACCATGGAGCCTTCCAACAGCTGAATTGCTCGAAAAACAGTTTCCACAGACGGAAAAATCTTCAGAAACGGACAGCTCTTTTTGCCGTCGAAGGCCAACATTTTCTCTTTTTAACCCGCTCCCTCTACTTAATTAAGTAGGCGCGTACTTAATTAAGTAAGGAACTGAGGTAGCTAGTACTAGTACCTAACTTACAGTGTTTGAGCGTGGTTTTGCGTGTCGAACGCTACTACTTGAGTAAATTCCCAATTTGTACCACTGCTCCACGAGCAAAACCACAGCTGAAACCAACCGCGGCAACAGCAAACCTCACGAATCATTATGTCAGTTATTGGAAACATGCCAGCTGTCATGAAAAGAGAATGACTCGCCAGTGTACCGCGCAATGATCACAGCAAGAGAAACACAATGGTCTCTACCGTAGATTTTACATAGGACGTACCTCCAAAATACATGCCCAAACATGTGACCAAACATGTAAAAACGAGCAACGCGCAGGAGTGAGTGCAAGTGAGCGAGTGCAAGTGAGTGAGTGTACGTGAGTGCAAGTGAGTTGAGATCAGTTAGTGTGGGTTGAGTTGGTGTGAGCCTATACACTTCCTTGCGCGGTTTGTGTTGTTGGAGTGTGATTTGTGCAGTGTCCTGTTTGTTTGGCAGGACTTGATGAAAAGGCAGCCCTTGGTCACAAGCTCCTTATCTCATCCTGGATGCTTCCCGTGGCCTGGCCGACTTCATCTACCATGGTCGGTGAAGGGGGGACAAGCCCTGCAAACCTGCCAAGGGACAGGTTTTTCCATGAAGGCAGCCAACCATGGAACAAGCGTGCTTTGTGGCCCTTCTCGTGCCAAGGGCCAGATTAGAGTGTGCTTACTGGATCGGCGGATAGACGTCCAATGCACTCTTTCTTCGTTTTGTAAATCAGCCGTGGGCCAAACCGTGGGTGTTCAGACATATATAGAAGCGTGCACGCATGAAGGGCCCAAGCGGTTTGAATGCAAAGGGCGGCCAAAATGCTGCAAAATGCAGGGCCAAATGACGTGGCCCACACATCGGCCTGGAGCACAGCCCCACAGTTTTGCGTCGAACCTGCAATTGTTGACGCAACCATGACCCTCCAGTAATTTTGCGCACAGCGACGCGCTGTAGAGCTGAATAGCCAACATGAACCCGCTGTTTGCGCAGTGCCCAGTTTTTGGGTGGCAGAGAACTGGGGGTTGGGGACTCCAGTCTCCACTACTGAAGGTCTGTGTATGCAAAGCCTGGTGGAGGCTGGGTTGTCAAGCAAGACCTTGTGATTGGCTCGACAAGTCAGACCCATGGAGGCCTCGAACTGGTCGGGGAACACACGCATTCCTCGAGGATGCCGTTTCAGCAGCCAGCGGCTTCAATCCGGGAATTTTGCCGGAACATGTTCATTCCAGCTTTATTCATTCTTGAACTTAGGAAACGACAATGGACGCATGTAGCGATAACCTGGGCCTTTGATTCCAGCGAAAATGATTTCAAGGTGCTGCCGGTGTGCAGTTTCAACCGTGTTTGGCCTAATGCTCACGTGGCAGACAGCGGTTGATGTCAGTTACAAGGTGACGATCTTCAAGGATGGAGTGCAGGTGGAGTGGGCTCATGGTAGTGTCCATCGCTAGTAGGTTGGAGGACATCGCTCATGGGCCCTTTAGTGCTCACATACGTGACCAACTGGAGACTCGGGAGGTGGCCCTTGGCACTGAGATTTTGGCCATCAACAAAGACTCAGAGCTCCGGCCAGACACTAAATCTTTGACACTCAATTTGACGCTTTGAGAAATGTTCGCTCAGGTTAGGACCATTCTCTGGGAACTTGGCCGAGTTCCGTGTTTGGGACCATGCCAGGTCTGCCAACGAGGTCCCAGCTATGTTTTGTGTAGGATGCTCTGCATGGTTGCATGGGTGAGAAAATCCTTCACTCTTTTGCTCAGAAACAAGTGCGCGACACCCTTTGCAAATCCTCTTGTATGAATGTTGATGTAACATTTAGCCGAACACCGGATTGCAAGATTTGTCCGAAGAACTGAAGCCAGTGGCGCTACTTAGGAGTGCAACACCTTTCCTCGTAGCATTCTCCAGACGACCTATATTTATATTGGGTTTGCCCTCCATCACCGAATGATGTATACAATTGCATGTTGTATTGTTGTGGTATAATAAGTTGTATACAATGCCTTTTCCATGCATCGCGAAGGCTTCTCGTTTAACTCTTGGGGGTTTGGGGGCCGGGTAGAAGCGAATTTGCGCGACGATCCTTTCATGTCCGCAACTGTCAGCGACCGTTTGCAACCATTCGCAACTGTTCGCCGCCGACAGTATGAGATCGATATGGTCCTCCCGTTGGGAAAAACTTTTGGAGGTCTTGGATGGAAGCATGAAGTGTCAGATTTGTCTGAAATAGCATAGCGAGCTAACATGTCGAAGTGTGAACGATGATTTGGCTGCGCTGGCGCAGTGTTTTGTAAGGTAAGCAACGGGCGGTCTTTTGGCGGTTTTGTATGCCGCTGTGCCATTGAGATTTGCGCTTGAAGCGCTTGCATGGAAGCCGTGTTTCGGGTGAAGCAGCAATGTGTCCACACGTGCGGTGCGAATTTTGTCGGACATGTTAAGGCGTGGCGTGGAGACTTGGGAAAGTCTTGTAATTGTATGAAATGCTCGTTCTGAAGGCTAGACATTGATATGTCACTTGTGGAGGAAGTCTGAGGCTTCACGTCACTTTTGGAGGACGTTCGGCACGGACTCCTCAATTTGAAGGTAAGAAGAGTGCCCCACAAGAGTGTCCTACAAGTGACAAGAGTGTCCCACGAGAGTGTCCCACAAGATTGTATGACATGAGTGTGCAGTGTGTGGCAAGAATGTGTAACAAGAATGTCCGACAAGAGTGTGCGACAAGAGTTTGCCACAAGCATGTTTTACAAGAGTGTGGGGCAGGAGAGTGCGACAAGAGTGTCCCGTTTGTGTTTGCGCACGCGTGTGCACTTGGGTTCGTGGGCTCGACTTGGTTTTGAAGAAAGATGAAGCACCTGGTTTATATATACTAGGCTGAAATGACAAAGGGCTTGTGAAAACTACCTCCAAATTACGGCGGCTAAGTCATGAAGGTTTAGCCTACCCCCCACAAGTATTTATGTCATGAAGCAAAAGCTTGGAAAAACATCAAAATCAGAGATGCCAGAGGTTGTCACCAAAGATCCTAAAAACAGTTGATTTTATATTGGCAAGCATCATGACATACGACTTTGGTATCTAAACAATGAATAAACCATCGAGAGATAGGAATTTGAGAGCAAAAACGCACAAAGGCAGACTTAAAGCAAAAGATGTTCCTATGACATGTGGACTTTCATTAGCTCTAGTATTCCAGGAGCATGCCCCCCACCAACCCCCCCTCAAAAAAAACTCAGGACCAGGTCAACAAGGCCTATGTCATGAGTGTGTGCCAATGAAATTGCCCTGTATAACATTTGTACATGACTTAGGACTTACCCTGGGAAAGTTGTATGTCATTTCGACCCAATTGGCCTAAGTCATCTCACCCTAGTATAGTTATAGTTAGGTTAGACGAAAACCCTCAGATTAGATGTGCCGTTGGCATTTGGCAGATCGAACTTTCCAGCTTTCGGCACTGTGGTGGTGAAGAGAGTGGCCTTGTTTGCTGCCTCAGTTTGCGTCCCGGCCGTGGCTTTGGCAGAATTCAGCTTCTTACACTTTTGTTGGTCAACTGTACGCCGAACCAGCACCAGAGCAAGCCATCACGAAGAGACTGAATTATCAACCAAGGTGGCTTGTCAGACTCTGCATTAGATCCACAAAATTCTTTGGCTTCTGGACACTCCTTTTCGGATCGAGGACACTGTGAAGGCCCATCGGGTTTGTGCAATTCCTCACCGGTTTTTAATCTTTCCACTACAGGCTTTTTCAAATGCTGGTCAAGGTGAGATCACGTGGGATGGTGATTGTCCAAGACTATTGGAATCGCACGCCGAATTGCCCATGGAGCCAGCCGGGGCCTTCAGTTTTCCTGAGCCTACAGTCAATCTTTTTTAAATCTACAGTATCTATCAATTTTCCGGTGGCCCTGTGAGTTCCATAGATTGATTTGAATTTGTTCGATTTAAGTAGTGGTGTAGCTCCTCTTTCTTTGTTCCTCGAGGCTGCTGAGTGCCCACTTTGTGCCATCCCGTATGTGGACGTGACCTGGCACCGGAATACAGCAATCAAGCCTCCATTTTGCTTGTTGACTGATGCTGACAGTGACTGAGGGATCGCAATATTGCCGAGAATGTGGACAGAAACGGCCCTTGAAGCAGGATTGGTTAGGGCCGCACTTTTGCTCAAGACCGTGTTTGGGTTGCACCATGTGTTCGTCAAACGTCTTGCAGGCCAAACCAAGTTTGTTCCAGCTCGAAAGTGATCCATGGACGGATGAAAGCTTGCAGCGGGCATGGGCGTGGCTAGATGGTTGGCTTCTTGCTTGCGTATTTATCATTCATTTGCATTCGTTCGCAGTTTTTTTTACTTATTTGATTTTTTGTTTGTTTGATTGTATGTTATGTGGTTTTGTGCGGTTTTTGTTGGACATATTTGGTGTTTGATTCGCATGTATTCTAGCACAAGGCACGAGACGGAGGCCCGGACTTGAACATCATGCTGGATGCTTCGAGTCATGTAGGACAAGCAGAGCGTGACGCTACGCCATGAGCAAGTTTAAAGTTCATGCATAGATTCAAGAAGTTTGCTGCCACACACACACACACACACCTAACTCCTTCCTCGAGGCGAGTCACCGTCACCTGATTGCACTAGACATGTTATCAGCAACAGAGGTTGTGATCTTGATGTTTTCTTTGTCAGATACAGGAATTTTATGTCATGGGCTGAGGCCGCAGTCAAGCAGAAGACAGAGAAGTAGAACGGGAACAACGGCAGGTTCGGAAGTCGAGCTGTCCAGCTCTTCCAGCAAACGACTTTGCCCCTCTCTATTTCAGGGGTAGGCCGCGCAACAGCTATTAAGTTGGCGACTGGTAGGTGAGACGCAGAAGAGCTCAGGCTTCTTCAAGGAAGAACCCCTCGAAGATTCTTGGGGAAACTCTTCATTCGGAAATAGAAGAATCTGACAGCAAAAGCAGAAACGCAACACGGACCACAAAGACTCGACACTATTCTTAAAGGTAAGCCTGCAAGGAACATGGAGGCATTGTGTCAGGTATGGTGCAGGAGTATGTTTGGGGGGGGCATCAGGTGTGTGGCATTCCAACAGGTTGTCGTGAAGACCCTTGTTTTCAGATGACCTTGCAGGTTCAGGAGCAGCAGAGAAAGGCGTACATCGAGTGGCAAGAACAGCAGAGGCTCAAAGAGGTGCACAGTCGCACGGCTTCTTGAGCGAAGATGTTAAATCTACTTTTTGAGTCGGGCGGTTGCGTTACAATATTCTCATCCACGGGCCCGACACACACTCAGACAATGGGTTTTCAGTGAACTCTGTTCCACGGGAAAAGGAGTGATGGAACGGAATGGGGCAAAGTCCGCAGTCAACTGAATGTTGAATAAATGTTGCAAAAAACGCTCAACGAAAGCGGCGATCAGCAGCTACAATGCGGAGGGAAGTTGGTTTAGGGGAGTAGAATGCGAAACCACCATGGAATCAAACAAGGAAAGAGTGGAGTCACAGCGTGCGCAAAAGTTCCATCAGTGCAGGTACAGGTGGATGATCAGTCCACCCTTCCCTCGTCATACCGTAGCTTCGTTGCGTACGGTGGGTATGACGAGCCGTACGCCCCTGCTGGATAGAAGTGAGTACTCCGCAGAACTCTTAGAAACAGAGGGTGACACACTCTGACATTGGTTTTCAGCTAACTCAATTTCCAGGAAAAATGGTGATGGAACGGCACTGTGAAAGGTCCAATGAGTTGAAGGTGTTTCAACAAATGGTTTGCGCACAACTGCAGTGACAAGCAGAAAACCGCGCGGCTGCTGAAAGTGGCGGAGAGAAAATGGTTTGAGGGGTAGGTAGCATGAAGGACCATGAATCAAACCGATCAAATTGGACAGCTTGATCAACGGCTCACTCAGCAGGTACACGAGAAGCGTCCTTTCTCGCTTCACAATCTCAAACCACCGTCTTCGTTGGGCAGTGGATGGAATGAGATTCACTGCCCCCCTGCTGGAAATCATGAACAACGCGAGGAAAGTAACCCTTCGGAACAGGGCTGGACACACACAACACGCCGATGTCGGCGCAAGTGTAGCATGGTGGGTGGACTTTTTTCAAAAACCGTCTGCAGGCTGCAGGGTTATGTCCCTTTTGGACATAAAGGCGTATCAGCTCTTCAGCCGCTGCTTTTGCGTGTTGTTGTGGAAAAGTGTAGGTGTAGATGGCATAAGCCGGAAAGAGCCAAGCGCGGGCTACCGGCGCTGGTGTGATCCCTGATTTTCCAGGGTTGGGTGGGTTGAATGTAGGTGATGGTGCGTTGTGGGAGGTCAATGTTAAAGCCCAAAAGGTGAAAGTCGTCGACCGGCTCAAGTTCGACTGGGTCGCCAAAGAAGTTGTGGTGGATAAGTGTTTGGATGGCTGGGTGGGATAGGAAATGCTCGTTGTGCACGATGAAGCGGTTGTCCACGTAACGGTAGTAGGTAAAGTGGAGAGCAGTGTGTTGAAGGAGGTTGTTGTGGAGTTGATGCCAGGAGTGCTCGATCAAAGTGATAGCGACGTTGCATAGGGCAGGAGAGAGCTGGGAGCCAATCCCGGCCCTCGGATTTGCTTGTAAGTGTTGTTGCATGCCCGGAAAATGCAAGTGTTGAGTGCAAAGGCGACGATGGTTGTTATGTCAGAAGTGTGGAGGGTCCGTTGTGTGGGGTGCTTGGTGTAATGTCGGCCAATGTGGGAGTGATGAAAGGGGTTGCCTGTGGCCTTGGTGTCGACTGTCAGGGTGTGCGTAGTGTTCTGGCGTTGCCAGTGCTGAATCATGGAATGGACGGCATCAATAAGCCGATGTTGCGGAACTGAGTTGAAGAAGCCGACCAGGTCATCGTTGGTCGCGTGCAGGGTAATGTCGGCCGGTGTGTCTGCAAGGTAGCATTGGAAGTGGCGCCAGAGTTGGGGAATGGAGAGTTGGCCTGGGTGCTGGGGGTAGAGGTGTTGCAAGATGGTGTCTAGTGCTCGGCTGGTGATACGCAGAAGGTTGCCACTGAGGGATTGGAAATACGATATGATAGTGCGTCCCTTCTGCCACTGCTTCTTTTCCTTGAGGTGGACGATGCCATAGGGGATTGTGAAATCCTTGGGGAATTGGAATAGTGGCGGCGAGATGGTCGTGGATGTTGGAGGAGTTTAATCTGTGGAAGAGGTTCTCAAAGTTCCGGAGAGTGCCAAGTGTTCAGGGCACCGGCGAAGTATTGGCGTGGGCAGAAAATGCGGAGCTGTTGGAGTTCGTGGTCCGCGTGGTGGAGAACAACCTTATCGCCAAGAAATTCTTGAAGTTGACGGATAAGACGAGCTGTGAAACGTGGTTGTTGTTTGAGATGGGTGGTGTGGAGTCGCCATTGATGTTGAAGAAAAGGTTCCAAGTGTTGAACAAGGGAGGTTGGGAGGCCCTGAACTCGTAGCCATTTGGAAAAGGCTGTTTGGAAGGTGAGGAAGTACCTGGCTTTGCTGGGGTAGAATGTGCTGTTCATGTTGGCTGCAAGGAAAATGCGTAGGTGTGGTGGTAGCTGCAATTGGTCAAGTGTGAGAATGTAGTGGTCATTGACAGTGGGTGTGGATGGATCGAGAAGCAAAGTGCGGAGGTGGGTACAAGCACACGGCAGATCGTTGGAATGTGGCGGAGTGTGTAGGGTTTCTTCCCAGGTGCTGGTTGTGGAGCTGCGCTCGGAGTGTCTTGTGTGCCGCTTCGCGCAGGCGATGTGTGGGGAGGTGTAGTACCAAATGTTTGTGTTGCTGGATGGTGGTCTGCAACCACTGCTGGCAGTGCTTTGTGAAATCTGGATGAGCCAAGAAGGGCACGGTGAGAGGAATGTTGGGTTTGGGAGGGGTCAAATTCCGGTAGTGGAGTGCTTTGTTGATAATGTGCAGTGCTCGAGTGCGACCTGGCTCTTCAAGATTGGCGGCCATACGTCGGATGGCATAAACTTCGAGGTCTGTGTGGCGTCCACTGCGGAGCTGCTTGGCTGCTTCGAAGGAGGCAAGCGTGTGTTTGGTGAGATTGCGAAGGAGGGTGAGGGCATGGTGCTTGGTAGAAGTAAAGAGGTATGGTTCACGGAGGGTCTGTTGTCGTCTGCGAAGCTTGCGAAAGAGGCGTTTGTGCGTGGCGAGGCGGGAGTAGAAGTGTGCTCGATGTTTGGTGAACTGCCAGCCTTCTGCTTTGAGCTTGAGGTGCTGGGAGATGAAAGGCCAGTTGAGAGGTGGCATCCAATTGGAAATGTAATGATGTTCACGGATCCAGGCTTGATCGTAGTTGTCATGGGAGGAGAGTTGGATTGGGGTGAAGTGATGCATATTGTTATGAGAATGCCAGTAGCGTAAGGAAAGTTCAGCGGAAACTGGTATGTTGTTCTGTAGTTGTTTCAATTTGGCGCGACGGTTGTGTTCCCGGTGGGGGATGCCGATGCTGGTGGAGCCGACATAGAAATGGCCATGCTGATGGTAACATCGCTGAGGTGGAAGGGCGTTGAAGTAAAGCTTGATGTAAACCGAGTTGGGTGAGAGAAAGTGGTGATAATGGTATGTGTGGGGGAGCACGCGGAGGTGTTGTGGTCGTTGACGCCATTGTTGGGAGCGTTGTGTGGATGGGTAGCAAAAAAGCAAAGTGATGTGGACGAGGCCAACGGCAAAGATGGCTTCGGCGCGTTCGATGTATTGGCTGTAGTGGATGAGAGTGGAGAGGGCTTGGTGTAAGTGGTGGAGGTGGTGCAAGTGGGTGGAATGCGGCTGAAATTGGCTGGACAGGGGGAGTCAGCAAGCCACCGCTGCTCCCACGCTGACGATTTGCTGAAGGCTCTTAGTTCACTTGATTGAGGGGTAGGCCATAGCGAGTGGCTGCTTCTTTGAGCTGGTCGGTAGTGATCTTGTTGGTTTGGAGGATGCGGAGTACTTCGTTGGCTGATTCCTGGACAGTGGAATCGAAACTGCGCATCCATTGCTGGATGGCTGGTGTGTCCCATGCTTCGGGAACATCCTTTAAGGAAGGACGGGGAGGTTGCAGGACGTCGGCCAGGGGGCTTGTGGGGTTCGGGATCCGCCGGGGCGGCTGGAGCGCTGAGGGGAGGAGCGGTGCAGAAGAACGACCAGCTTCCTTGCGCGGTGTAAGGTCGATTCCATGGGCCTGGAGTTTCTCGCGCGGTCTGGCTAGGTCGTTGGAGGTGGCCTTGAGAGCACGAAGGGCGGAACCTTCGGCTGCAGCTGGGGCATGGGCCTGGAGTTGCTCAGTGAGAAGGGCGATCAAAGGAGCGTGGAAGGCCCGTGCTTGGGTTGTCTTGTTGGGGACGGTTGTGCCTTGCGCGGAATGGAGGGCTTCCGCGATCGCATCCAAGTCAAAGCGCCTGTCCCGAATTTCCTGTAAGAGGTGAGTGGTAAGGACTGATTCGGCAATGCTCCTTGTCGGAATGAGGCCACAAAATTTTCCGTGGCTCAGGGTCCGGGCTGTGTAATCAGCCGTACCATGATAGGCAAGGAGCCAGGGGAAGACTTCGAAAGTGGGCAAGCCGGCAATGCCGACTCGGCGGGACCATTGTGTTGGCTGGATAGTATTCTGAAGTTGGTGACCGTGGAGTGAGTGGGAGTCCCAATGGGACTCTGTGGAGTGCCAGGAGTCCTGAATAGTGGGTTGGGGGAAGGGAACAGTGGCCGGTGGTGCTGGATGGGTGGGATTGTGCTTGAAAGATTTGTTGGTTGGAGTGGTAGGAGCTGCTGTTGGCAGTGGCGGCGGTGGTGGAGGAGGGAAAGGCTGACTGGCTGACGGTGATGGAGTGTGTGCCTGTTGTGAGGTGCTGGGCGATGGAGTGTAAGGGTGGTGTTGATGAGCCTGTTGAGTGCGGACTGCATGGGTCATCGGGCCATAAGTGCCCGTGGGGCTGTACTGCTGTGTCGGTTGGCTGGAGGTTTGTTGTTGTTGCTGTTGTTGAAGGAGGTAATGCTGCCAGTAGAACTGTTGCCACTGCGCATCCATGATGGCGGGGATTGATCCGGAAATGCGAGGGTGCGAAGCGGATAGTTCGAGCAAGATAGCTGTGAGGCGAAGGTGCAAGCAAGCCATGAAAAACATGAAATCAAATGTAGGGGGAGGTAACCGAGGGATGACTGAGAGTGCATGACTTGATACTATCAAAACTCCCGACGAAATTGAATCGAGCATGAAAGCAAG